CATTTCATTGGTAGTAGAACCTAAGTGGCAATCATATATTTTAGTTGCTGAAAGATGTGTTTGTTTATCTAACGTCAGTGGCTAGAGAGCAAAGAAGAAATATTTTGGATGCAGAGGACATCCAAGAATTGGAAATAGTTCAAATAACCGAGGAACTATCAAGAGTTGAAAAGGAAATCTCATGTAGTAGGAACTTTAGTGAGTGTGAGAGTGGATATGGAGAAGAAGAGAATGTGGGCACTGGTTTGGAACAGAAGGAACATAATGAACATTCCCACAAGAAACAAAAGAGGAGTAGGTTATAAACCTTTCACTCTCAATTTTAATGTTTTTATTATATGGGAATGTTGAAAGGTGAAATTTGTTTGTGTTTGTTACTAAGTAAAACTTTGTCTTTATTGGTATAAATACGATAGGTAAACTGAGTAATAGGATTGTAAATTCTAAACTTTATAATAAGTCACGAAAGTAATAAGATGGTTATTTATGAGATATTTTTGTTAATTATGATTTAATCAGAACTAATAAAATTTCCATCTCGTTACTTAGTAGTAATCGTGTAGGAATTACATTGTCTTCTTATAGTTTTTTCGTTAATATTCATCTTGTCTCATTTGATAACTTACCATGGCATGAAATCCAGTTTACATGATCATACGAGAAATGAATCTAGGAAACATAATATAATTAGTATAACCATATAATCAGTCATTCAAGTAGAGTAAAACTAAGATAAATAGAAAAATAATATAAAGTACAACTTTGATGTTTTACTTAAAACTGCAAACTTGGTGAAACTTCTATCTCAAAAATCATAGGATAAAAATTTTCCGCCCACCAGCTTTTCGAATTTCACTCTTCCTCCATTCCAAATTGGCTAAATTTTTGCAGACCCAAAAATCGTTTAAGCAAAGCATTAAAACCCTTATTTTTGAGTTTTCCCCATTCTATATTCTTCTATTTTCTCTCTCTCTCTCTCTTCCCCATTTATCTCTCTCTCTACCTTTCATTCTCTCCCAACCCCAAAAGATAAATAATGTCAAACCCAATAATGTCTACTTCATCTTCCACGACTGGGGGTATTACCTATGGTCATAGACGAGTAAGAACTCCGGGAATACCTAGTAAGTGTTGGTGCAGGGAGAGCATCATCGAGCTCATCTCAAAACCCAATAAAAATCCATATCACCGATATTATCGGTGTCTATATTCGGCTCAAAGGAGGGTACGTCCGTTTAGCTTTAATTACCGAAGGCTTGTTCTCTTAAGATGTACATTTAAATTTTTTGAAAAAAATGTTTTGTAGCTCGAGAACGACAACCGCGTCTTCAAATGGGTTGATTAAGCTTTCACTGATGAGATACAACAGTTGGACTACCAAGTTCGAATGCTAGAAGAATAATTTTAATTTCTCAAAGAAACAATAAGGAGTGAAGGTCCCAAAATAATGCCTAAGATAAGGATATCAGGAGGTTGTGTTATTATCAGTGTTGTTGTAGTTCTAGGAATTTTGATGTACATGTAATTTCTAACGCTAGTGACAAAGTTAAACTTTCTGGTTTTTGGAAGTTTTTCGTAAGTTTCTCCTAAGTTATGCGAAGTTGGACGAATACGAAGTTTGGTCTATTGAGAAAGTTTCTCTAATTTTTACGATGTTAGACAATTGAGAAAGTGAAAATAACACAAATTTTGTCCTGCTTATACGAGCACGAATGTCATGTTAACTTCAATTTATTCTTAGTTTTACGGGTTTTTTCCAATTACAAAGGTAAAACTTAAACAAAGGTTGTTCTATTTAGAACATTTTTTCCTATTTATAGAACTTCATGTTAACTTCAAGTTTTCAGCGCAGTCGGACAATAACAAAAGTTAAGAAACCCAGTTTTAAGACATACTAGTTGATAATCCGCGCGCATGCGCGGAGTAAATTTTAGTTACTAACGTTTGATGTATATTAATTTTATTCTTTTAAAAAAAATATTGTGTCATAGATTGAAAAGGTGTTACATGTTGTGGACCTATAATTTAATGATGTTACGTATTGGGTCAAAGTGTTGACAAATTGGTTATAAAAACTCAATTAGTTAAACGTTGGGCCTAAAATAATACATAAGAAAATCCATTTATGGTCCACTTTTTTACCAGATATAGAAAGAACAAACACTGAAATTGCTGACTTGCAATCGGAAAGAGAATTAGGGTTTTGTTTTGATCTCCGACTTCTTATTTAACTCTACAATATTTGTGGTTACAATAATGTTTCTCTTCTTAACTCACATTGGTTTTGTATTTGTTTTAATTTCGTGCAAGATTTCTCGAAAAGCATGAGCTTCGATCGATTGAGAGAATATTCCAATTGTAATACATCAACAGATCCATGCACATTACGTGGGGTGAACATTATGTATACAAAATTACTTTTATATATTATTATTTATTTTGGGGTCATTTACATTCTCTATTATGTAATAATAAACACTAGATATTGACCCACCCTTTTAAAGGGCGGCTATATTTTTGTTTAACATTTAAAATAAAAATAATTTTCATATTTGTGTTTTTTTTTAATTATATTTTTTTTCTAATCATCTTTGTATAAAATGTTTTTTTTTAAATATGAGTAAGGGTTTTGATATTGTAATTTATTTGTGATGTTGAATAACTATACACTTGTGTCATAGACATTTTACACATTAATTTTGTATTTTATTCTTAAACAGTTATTAGTTTTTCTTTTTCAAAATAACAAAGTATAGTTATAATATGATTTCAATAACTATTTTCGATATTTTCTTATTGATCCGAATCCACGATAAATAATGGTAAATCGAGTGATCTGCATATAATCCATTTGAGACTTTAGATTAAATTGCAATGTTTTATTTAAAAACTCCATAAAACCCGGTTAGAAATCCATAAAAATTTTATTGACCCATGATCTGGTAATGGTCGACCGAGAAAAACCTAGATAAATCTAACCATTTTTTATTTTTTATTTAAATTTAATTTCATGATAGTTAATATTTAGTTTATTTATATGCAAAATTTTAATTTGGTAGATAAATTAGTAAACTAATTTGTATTTCATGAAACTGAATAAAAATCTAATTATATTTGGTAAATGAAGATACTTTTTATATTAAATTTTCAATGGTAAATAATATTATATTAATATATTATATATTTTGTTAAAAGGGCAGGGTTAGTAAATATAAAGCATAAACTTAGATTTCAAATATTAGTAGCCATCATAATAGTAAGAATAAAGGTGGATACTAATTCACTGGATTAACTAATGTATAGTGTATTAGTAAAGTATTATTTGTTGATTAGTACTAATATATATTGTCTGTAACAAAAGTGTAGATTTGAAAAAAAATGGCTGTAGTTATTAGACATATTTTTATCGAACATATACAATAATTTATTTGTGCACTTTCATAAATGTGGTAGATATTGATCCTAGAATATATGAATTAAAGGAAAACAGTTATATTTACTTTATTTTTTTTTAAATAGTGGTTACAAATATATATTCAAATGCAGTTATAATTGTCGGACATAACCTTTTATCAATTTGACATGAATCTAATTTAATAGTATTGATTACAAAGTGACATATTCACTTGGTACCTGAATTCTTTTTTTAATCGATTTTGTGATTTTTATTTTTTTTAAAGCTTTTTTGATTTCTGATTTTTTTCTACCGATTTGATTTTCCTTCTAATTCTTGGTTGGATATGAAAACTTTATAAAAATCTTAATATTTAACTAAACTAACGATCCAACTTTACGTGTGGTGTTTTTCATCTCAGCTTCTTTAATTCATAATCAGTCACCTTACTTGTTGTTATTGTGTACCAAAGCCTCAACCATGACCAACTTCGGCAAGGTATGAAACTTTCAATTTCTACAAACATTTTCATTGCAACATTTTAGTTGATGTGAATCTTAATGATTTTGTAATTGTTTTACTATAAAGATATTATTCATTAGTTTCATGTGATTTAATTTATTAATACAAAGACTAAAAATATAGTGTATTAAAAAGAATAGTGTATAAACACATTAAATAATGAATTTACAAAATTAGTGTGTGAACGCATTTATTGCCAAATGATTGTAAGACCGACACATGTCAGTTATGGTGTGAACGCATTTATTACAATGCTTCTCTTTTAATATATAAAAGATATTGAATAATTGTGAATCAATAAATATTATATACATAGTTAAACCGGAGTAAGCACATTAATCAAATTAAATAAATCAAAGTAATCATTTTATTTATTTTTATGATAGATAATTAAATTTAAATGATATTGACATATATATATAGTATATAATATGAATATATAATTGAAGCTTCTTAGTTTATATTCATCGATTTTATTAACATTTGTATATTTGATGTAAAAAAAATCAGTAAAAAAATAAAACTATTGTTCACAAAATTTTCATTGTAAAGTAATTAACTGAGATTTCGGTGGTTTAGTAATTATGTTAAGGATCATTTAAAAAATCAGTGGCATAGAAATGTAATATTAGAAGTTAATTAAGGGTTATTTCAAATTTGTACTTTAATTTTTTAATTGAAATTAAAGGTATTATTGTTATTTTGAAAATATTTAACCTAATGGAGCATAAAGTATATGAGTTAGTGTAATACGACATACTTACCATTTTTTTTGTCTAAAAAATAATTTTCCCTAATATATTTCGTAACATATACTTAGACAAGGGGAAAATTATTGCGTATCATGCTAATTAATACCTCATATTAGGAGTTACTTGTTATCTTATATATAGAAAGTTTTTAGAAATTAGTTCATATCTGAAAATATATATCTTTTATGAGTATCAAATATAAGATGCAGATTTTATTTCAATTGGTTGACTATATTTCCAAAATTAAATTATTACATATTTGACTATGGCAAGTACTTATGTAGCACGTAAATATTGTTTACATATTTGTAAGATTTTCGGTTCAGTAATTAGTATTTGGGTTACTTTAAAAAATTCCTTGTAGGCTACAAATAGAGAACGACTTATTTGTCAAACGTTAAGTTATGAAAGAGTACAATTCATATAAACTTGCTATCAATGAAAGAAATTTTAGTAGAAAATAGAGATGACAATACAAAACCCTAAAGATTACAACACTTAATTTTTTTTTTCAGAGACTCCATCTTCTCAGGAACCGAGATCAGGAAGGGTGTTCTACATGTTGTAAGGCATCAAAACTTTTCGAAAACATCAGAAGCAGTTGAGGTTATCATCCTGGAATATGGTTGTGCCTATGAAACAATGCAGGTTTTCAGACAAACAAACATGAATGAAATATAACTGTGTTGAAGAGATAAAACTAGGATGTTACCTGGTGAAAGAAAAGTCTTAAGGTGTTTTAACCTGTTCAGTTGTTCCTTGGTATATGCTTTGAACTCTGCTTCATCCTTCTCTAAGGATAAAGCCCATATCCTGCATATACACAATAGATAAGCCAAAAACCATTAGACAGTTTCTATGTGTTTCCTCCTCTATCTAAAGATTAATTAGCATATTGATCAGAAGTCATTATCTGAGAGACAAACCTTATCACAGCCTCGGACCCGTTCCGGTAGCAGTATCATCCCTGCATTAACCTTCTCCCTTCTTTCCTATAATCCATTATAATGAATTAGCAATTAATCAACTGATTAAGATAAAAAAAGAGAAATAAGAAGCGTAAAGAATCTCACTAATTCCTCAATGCACGCACGACTGATCTAAATCTATTTACTAAAAAGAGAAGAGTGGAGTCGTGAGGAAGATATACCAAGCCAGTCACTGCCTTTGACAATATCATAGATGTGCCATGCTCCGATAATCCAATGGCCACCTTAAGCCCACCACCACCAGCTCCTACCACCACCGCACCATAGGTGTGATCCACTATCGTGTAATCACATGTCTTCTGCATGATCAATATCAACACGGATAAGCACAAAACGCGAACTCATCAAAATCAAAGCTAAAAACTCCAACACAATGAGAGGTTTCCCTATTGTTATTGATTCATGAATAAAGCAGAGCAGACGCCGTGTGTGAGGTTCAGTCTCATGAGATTCCACATACGATCGAAATTGAAAAACTCATAACTGGAAGAGGGAGAACTTACAAAACCGGTGGAGAAAAATCTAGGGAAGCTCGATCCAGAGAGAGAGGTCCTTGAAGAACGAACGCCAAGGCCACGAGAGACGCATCGCCACATCTTTGTCTTCTTCTTTTTCTTCCTGAAGCGAAATAAAGAGCAGAACTCTGAGAATCATACAATAAACGGAATCGTCACGCCAACTAAAGCATCTCCCGGAAGCGAAAATGAAAAGGGATCCAAGAAGGGACTGGGATCGTTTTAGTATTTTAGAGTTTCCCATGAATCAAGTTTAATGGGCCAAGAAAAAAAAACAGAATGGATAAAAAACAAAAGCCCACTATTGCCCAATTCCGTGTGTGACGTGGCAAACAAAATGTTCTCATTGGTGAGGGAAAATGAACATTTTAATCCCCAACTATTTATAATCAGCAACTTTAACCTCGAAGTATTGCTTGCACGGTTTTAATCCCTGATTAAGCGTTGACTTGGCAAATTAAAGACTAAAATAGTCAAACGTTAAGTTACAAACTGTTTCCATTAGTTTTATACTCGTGTGCTCCTCTAAAACTTAAAATCCCTAAAAAAACACAATTACATGCGATTCTGGATAAGCGAGGTTCCGGCTAGAAAGACAAAATTCGCACTGAAGGTTTTGGATTGTAAAATATAGACGCATGCACTTGCCCGAAGAAAATCTGAGAGTGCTCCAGGAACATTTATTACATAATCCCTGATTCTCTGCGCAAGAGAAGAATCATCAAAGAAGTGGAGTGAGTTTACTTTTTTCGGCTTGTTCCTATTTCCTTCATTAATGGGATACGTGTGTTCAAACATGCGAGATTCTGTTGGTATAGTGAGGGTAATAGTAGTAACACAAACAGGTTTCTGTGTTGTAAATTTCTCGCTACTTTATATGTTATGCCAATTTTGGGTTATTTACTTCACTAAAATTGTGAAAAACTTACAAATACATCATCACAAATTAAAAGAACAATTGCTTTACCGTAGACTCAATAATTTTTCAAAGGGAGATCCTGAGCTGAAGTTTTAGGTTGAAAAGAAAGCATTCCTATTAGAAATCAGGACCAGTAATACAAACCTTACTAAATCAAAAACCTTTGTGGTAGTAGATGAAGATCAGAACCAAACCCTCTTAACTTGCCAAAAAGGTTTGAAGAAGATCACTGATAATTACTAACGGAAACCGTTTAAAACTTAAAGTCTGACTATTTTGATCATTAATTTGCCAAGTCAACATTTAATCCCCTATATATTAAAGGAGAAGCATTACAACATTTTTTGTAGCCACGTGTCATCACCACAATCATTCTTAGAATCCTTAGAAAATATGTTGGTCCATCTAAATATATAATAAGCTTTTTATTAAACTAATCATAAATGACTTATTAATGTTTTTCATTGTTTCCTTAAATAAAAATAATGGAATTGCCAAATATGGTTAAAGAATATATGATAATTAATGATTTTCAATAATAAATATTTGATAAAAACTAATGTGTTTTTAAGTTTTATCATATTAAAGTAAATTAAACAACTATATTACTATATAATAAAAAATCAGATTTTTTCGTATATGATATACTTTGAAAATTTTAAAGCGATTATAAATAACTAAAGTTGTTACAAAATCTCACATTGAAATTTTGTGATCCATGGTTAATTTTTTTTATATAACAAAATAGAAATGATTACAAAATTATATAAGTAAGAAGTCTCATTTAATATATATATCCCCTATATATTAATTGGAAAGCATTACAACATGTTTTGTAGCCACGTCTCATCATGAAAATGATTCTCAAATATACAAGAAAAAAAATGTTGGTCCATATAAACATATAATATACTTTTCATTAAACTAAACATAAAACTATTATTAATGCTATTCATTATTTCCTTAAATAAAATTTACGAAATTACGTAATATGGTTATAATATATATATGACAATGAATGATTCGAATATGAAGATCTGATAAAAACATTTATAGCTTCTACTGTTTTTGTTAAACTTATATTGTGAAAGTAAATTAAACAATAACATTAACTATAAAACCAAAAAATAAATATTTTTTTTTGATAAATGTTATATTTTGAATTTTTTAAACTAATAAAACATTTAAAAATTTAACATATAATATTTTTGATTAGTAGTTTAAATCCCCTATATTTTAATATTTGAGCATTACAACATTTTTTGGTAGCCACGTGTCATAATGATAATGATTTTCATAATTCTTAGAGAAATATGTTGGTCTAACTAAACATATGTTATGTTTTTATTATACTAACTAATAACTGTCATATTTAATTAGTAGTGTATAAAAGAATATTTTCTATTAGTTCCTTAGATAAAAGCTACGGAATTACCTAATATGATTAACATATTATCACAATTAATGTTTATGAATAAAAAAGATTTGATAACAATTTTTATCATCTTTACTTTTTTAATAATTTTATATTATTAAAAGAAATTAAACAATCACATTAATCATATAATTAAAAATTAGAATTTTTTCTTATATGTTATATTTTGATTTTTTTAAAACGATCATAAATTACTAAAAATGGTAAAAATCTTACATTGAAAATATTCTGATCAATGATAACATTTTTTAGTTCAGCCAATCGTTTTTCTAATGGGTCTTAAACAGTTTATAATGATTAACTAAATCGATTGCGCATAATAGAGTGTGTTTTGTTTAAAAATTATTGCATACCCTAAATCAATATGAACCATCATCTCTTTCGTTTAAATTTTTGTTACAATAAAAAATATATGGTTGGACAAAAAACTGAATCCAGATAACCTAACCAAATCTAATCCAAAAATTAGTAAAACCATTTAACCAAAATTGGTTAGATATCCAAACAGATTCGAAATTTTGGTATCTAAAGAACCAAAACTAAATCGAAATATCTCGGGTATCCAAGTGTACTCGAACCAGATTTATATACTTAAATATATTAATTATTTTAAATTCAACATCTAAGAATATACAAAATACATGAGGTTTTTTAAAAAATTTCACAATACTTAGAAATATATAAAATAGTCAAATGTACATTTTTAAAATAGCTAAACGAGACTCCAAATACCAAAACTGTTTGAAATATTTATTGGTTTTTGGTCCAAATATTTAAGAGAAATCAGTTTTATGTTAATTTCAAGTATTTTGGCATTTATTTTTCAAATTTATATGTTATATATTATTTTTAATTTTAGATTTTGAAAAATTTAAAGTATATATAAATTTTTATCTTAAAAAAAAAAATTAAATGGATTATCCGAACATAAACTCAATCCGAACCTGCAAAGATTCAAACCAAACTGCAAAGATCTAAACCACACATAATTTAACCAAACCAAATGGTACCCAAATGTCCATCCCTAATCAACTGTAAAAAAAGTTATTGATAGCAAAAAAATGTATTTATACGAAATATTTTTAAAAAACTCACTCCGCGCATGGCGCGGGTTATCATCTAGTTGGGGATTAAAACCATGCAAGCAATACTTCATTATTAAACTTGCCTATTTCAAGTAGTTGAGGATTATAAAGCCCATTTTCTCTCATTGGTGATTATTTTTTCTGACGCGGACAGTCCATCTGAGGCTTATATTGTCATTTTATTACTTGTTTGATAAACCAATTAGTTTTAAATAGATTTAAAATATCTAAAAATAAAAATAATATAGCTAATTATTTATTATTAAAATAAATAATTGTATGTGACAAAGTTCTGTTTCAAAAAATAATATGTAACAAATTAATGAACAATCATATTTGAAAAATTAATTAGTAACATTTTGTTGGATATTCTAATTTAGTATACAAGTTTAATGGCATATTCAAGGTTCAAGCAAGTATTCGTATTTATAAATAGTACTAATTAATATTATATTTTTATGAAATATATCTAATTTGATGTGATTTTTTATTTAATCAATGATTCATGTTACATATCTTTTAAATTAGTATTTTTAAGAGAAAATATATGACAAAAATTACAACTAAATTCAAAACTTAAACAATCCATGGTCTCTGTACTGAACATAATCAACTAACATCTTTAAAAAAAAAATTATTTATCATCAATTTCAAAGTAAAAAATATTAGATCAAACTAAAAAATATAATTTCATGAATATTTTAGTGATAAACTAACTAAATGATTTCTAACAAAAATAATTTAATAAATTGTTAGAGAAAATAGTGAAAGTTAAGGTAATTTAAGTTGAGAACAAATTAAATATTTTGGCACAATTTCACGCAAACTAAAATTATATATTATTTCGTTTATCCGTACACCCGTCCATAGGACGGGTTTTCCCTAATAATATATACACAATCCCATTAATTTTCTTGTAGCAGTCTTAGCACTTCCAAAACCCTAACTTCTATAAATAGAGAGACAAAAGAGTTTGTAAAAGTTTTTGAGATTTGATCTAGACGGCACTAGCATCCCGTATCGATCCAGTTTGTGTGCGTGTGGATACTGATAGAGACAATGACGTTTGAAGTGCTATAAATCTCAATTTGGTTTATTTATCTTTCTGCTGAAAAATAACCAGGTATACTCGAAACCCCAAGATCTATATTTATTTCAGTATTTACATGAGATTGTAGGCACATAGAATTTATAGGTTATTTTACCGATATGAATTCCTACCGTTTACTATGAGATTTATATGTATTGGGCTGTTGCATCAGTCTTAGAGTTGCATTCCTTGAATATTAATTACAATGCGGACTATTATAGGAAAGTCACGGTTGCTTGGGAGCCTGTAGAATTTGTTTGCATTATTATAATTGTTTTTTCAGCAAAATAAAATTAGGTCATTTTATGTTGATTAATAATTTAAGTATATATCATTTAAGAATTATTATAAACTAGGGCCGGTCCGGGCTACGCTCGGGTTTTTCGTTGATATATAAATATTAGCATTTATTATAAAATATAAGTAATTAGACAATTTTATAATTATTTACTGTTTTTTGTCTTTCGAATTACAAAAATTTTAATATGTAAATTTTTTGTTATAGATTATCAGTAAGTGTTTTGTGTAGAATTGTTGTGTATTGTGGCTCGTATTGACTTTTGTTTCTTTATTTGTTGTGTGTTATTATGTTATTTTCAATTTTTTTTTGTAAAATATTGTTTGGTTATTTATTACTCATTGTTTACTGTTTGAAGCT